TCCTCTTCCTCCTCTTCCTCTTCTTTCTTTCTCTCTCTCTCTCTCTCTATCTCTTCTCCTTTGTCGTTTTTCCACTTTTTGTTTTCCCTTTTTTCATCCCTTCCGCTTGATGAAGGAAGGGATGTTCCCCCAATTCCTCCTCTCCCTCTCTCTCTATTTCTCTCTCCCTATTTCTCTCTCTCTCTCTCTCTCTCTCTCTCTTTCTCTCTCTCTTTCTCTCTCTCTCTTTCAAGTTCTCTTTCTCTCTCTCTTTCTCTCTCTCTTTCTCTCTCTCTTTCTCTCTCTCTCTTTCTCTCTCTCTCTCTCTCTCTCTTCGTCTTCTGGCAAGTGTTGCGTTCTTTGCTCAGTACTTAGACGCATGTCTCTTTCCCCTCCTGCCTAAAGAGGCGATCCTTAAAAAAAAAAAGAAAGAAAGAAAAGTCGATCCTTCCCTCTCCCTGGCCCTCTCTTGCCCCTCCTCTCATTGCATTCCATGCTGAGTTTGGGCCTGGCTCCACTACTCATGACATGGAGAACGGCGAAAAATAGGGCGGTGTATCTTTCCGTCTTCTAGCGGAAGATCCATTCTCATTTTGCATATTTGTGAGTGGTGGAGCGAGGCCGTTTTTCGGGTCCTTCCCCCCCCCCCCCCTCTTTCCCACCCTCTTGCAGATATCAGACTATGTCAGTGAAGCAGAGAATCTCGACCATTAAAAAAAAGAAATAAAGAAGAAAAAAGGAAGGGAAAAAAGGTAAAAGAAGACAAAAAGAGAAAAGAAGAAAAGAGAAAAAAAAAGTAGAAAAAAGAAGATGAAAGAAGAAAAAAGAAGAAAAGAAAAGTAATTCCATCTCTATTGTTTACAGTAGAACGTGTCGCTGGGCCCTGTTCTCAGCCCCGCCTCCTGGGGCCAGATCTACCAGCAAAGAGGATTGGATTAAGCGCCTGAATCTGGATGGTTTTAGAGAAGAGGTGCAGAAAAGTAGTTCAATCTCGATTTTCTGCACCTTTCCACAAATACGTCCAGATTCAGGCATTCAATTCAATCCTCTTTGCCAGTCGCACCTCGCCTCTGGCTCTCGCATCTTCAAAAATAGACTTTTACAACTGCCGGTTTCTTTCTTTCGTTCTTTCTTTTTTTTTTT